TATATATAATATATATATATATATATATATATATATATATATATATAAATTTATATATATATATAATCATTTTGTCCATATGGAACTGTAAACTTATATATATTAGGTGTCAAAAAAAGTTCTGAGCTTTAGATTTCATACAATCGAAATACAATTTAAATTTTATATATCTTCCTGCCCTTTTGCGGTTTTAAAGCGTTGACATTTGGCCTTCTAAAATGCCATACGGTTTGATGCACATAACCTCAAAAATCAATAGTGTTCACGATGGCAATAACAAAAGAGCATATTCGATTTTCCATCCATTTCGCGTTTCTTCTGAAGAAAAATGCTGCTGAAGCCACTGCAATGATTTGTGTGCTGCATATGGAAAGAACGCTGTAAGTCATACTACATGTAAAAGATGATATCAAAAATTTCGCCAAGGAGATTTCAGTCTTGAAGATGAACCGCGTGCTGGACGCCCTCAAAAGATTGAAACGGACGAATTGCAAGCACTGTTGGATATAAACTCTGCGCAAACTGAAAAGGAGCTTGCAGAATAGCTTGGTGTTACGCAGCAAACCATTTCCGTACGTTTACATACGATGGGAAAGGTTCAGAAGGAAGGCAGATGGGTTCTGCATGAATTGTCCGAAGACAACAAAAATCGTCGGCGTGACACGGCACTCACTTTGCTTTCAAAGTTCCAGAAAAAAGATTTTCTGCACAAAATCATTACAGGCGATGAAAAGTGGATTCTTTATGATAACCCTAAACGTAGAAAATCATGGGTTGACTCTGGTCAACCTTCGACGCCAAAGCCCAATATCCACGTCAAGAAAGTTTTGCTCTGTATCTGATGGGATTGGAAAGGTGTGTTGTATTACGAATTGTTACAATTGAGTGAAACAATCATGGCAGACCGCTACCAACAACAATTGACCAATTTGAGCAATGCATTAGAAGAAAAGAGGCCATTTACTGACCAAGGACGTCGTAAAGTGATCTTGCTTCATGACAATGCTCGACCACATATTGCGAAAGCGATTCAGGACCATATCTTTGCGTTAAGCTGGGAACTTCTCTCGCACGCGGCGTATAGCTCAGACATGGCGCCTTTCGATTACTATCTATTCCGGTCGCTGCAGCATCATTTGGCTGATACACATTTCATGAGATGTGAAGAGATACGAAAATGCATTGATTGAAAATGATGATTTTATCGCTTCGAAGCCGATGAGCTTCTATCGTCAAGGAATTCGCAAGCTACCCGAAAGATGGCAAAAGGTCGTTGATGTAAACGGGGAATATTTCGCTGATTAATATTTTTTTGTTTGTTTTTGAATAAAG